CCACCGGCGGCTGGTGCCTGGGTGGCTGGTAGTCTAAAGATAATTTTCAAAGGGGTCCGTATGAAAAAAATATTATTTGGTATTCCGTGATATTAAAAAGGTTGAGAAACACTGACTGCTGTAGARTACTAGATGTCAGATGCTGAATAAATATGGGACATCGGGAGTCTGTAGAAATATTTTTGTTGTACCCATTTCGTCAAAATAGTATCAATTTTAATGTATATTTAAGTACAATCTGTTATACAACATAACGATATGTTCCAGAATTATTTGGTTTGCCTATAATTTTACATAATTTAATAAAAATCATTGCGTCGCGTCTACCAGTCGTGCTAAAATAAATAATAATACGTCATATCGATTGATATTGAATGAAAAAAACAAACAAAAAACTTATGTTTGTTGATGTCCGCCATCTTTTATTTTGATAATAATATACACTATCAGGTAAACTATAATAATACCATGTGTTGTTACCGTTATTAAGCCAATGCTGAATAGTGAATGCCATTCGTTGTAACTTGTAACTCGTATGAACGTATAATAGAAATCGAAATTTCTTGTGGGATACCTAGTGTCGAATATTGAATATTCGACGTGTGCCGTGTGTCTATTTGACGTCGTGCTATACGAATTGCTGGGGCTGCAGCATCACGTCTGAATCAGTCTGAACGGCAGCTATAGAGTGTTGCGCTGAGACGACAACAACACCCGAGTTTGGAGGAGCGTCATCAAAACTTTGGTAGTGAGTATTAAAGGACTCGTTAGATTTTGGAGGGACACGTACATAATATATATTATACCTATAAACTAAATTGAAATAATTAGTTTGTAGGACTAAAAACATGTATATATTAGGCACGGGCGTATACCGTTGTAGTGGCGTGACGAGTAACAACTTGTCTTTGTTGGTATTTGTAGAAAATGTTAAGCGACGAGGAAACTCCGAATACAGAACCGTCCACTTCGGATACAACCAACGTAGCTACTGGCTCTGCAACCGAAGTCACAAATGATGATAACCAAGGCCAGAGTACGTCTGTGGCTGATCCAAATGCCGGTGCCCTGGAGGTGGCTGAAGACAAGACTGTAGCCAACGACGAGTATATCCGATTGCGTGTCATCACTAGTGACATGACCAATGAGGTGCACTTTCGTGTTAAAGCCGCCACAGCCTTGGTTCGCCTGAAACGCTCATACTGCAGCAAGTTGGGTTTTCAGGTGGGCGAGTTGCGTTTTGTGTTTGATGGTCATCGAATCACTGATGATGATACCCCAAAATCATTGGGTATGATAAATGATGATGTTATTGAAATATATCAAGAAAGAACTGGTGGTATGTGATGTGAACGTGTAAAGTTAATATTATTTAAAATTTAAAATTTAGGTTTTTTTTCTGAAGTGTCTTAAAATTTAATGATCATCACAAAATAAATATGTGTTAGTTTCAAACAATATATGTTAACGGTGGTATTTCAATAACCGAATTTCTAAATTCCACAAATAGAAAAAAAGTTTTCATTAGCAACATTAGTTTAATCGTTTAATGTACTCACTCCAAAATAAATTTCAGAATTGTTGACCAAGTTCAGACTTAACTTCTATATTAAGAATGTCAACTAGGTATAATTGTTGTCTTTAACAAAATTAAATATACTGAATGATTCAGAGTTTCTTCCTCGTTTATTGTGTTTACCTTGTGGTTTTTGGGAACTGTATATTATGCTGTAATTTATACCAATTTTATTTAAGTGAATTGTTGAATTATTGTACCAATAATGGAGTAGGCAATATCAATTGATATAGAATAATGCTATTTATATGGTTAAGTACTAAAAACTGCATATTAAAAAATTGTTTGTAAGTCCTTTTTGATCTATCACCGCATAATATATACATACATTTGTTTATTTTTTTAAACATCTTTCTATATTTGTAGATGCAATATTTCTATCCTACCATTCAATATTTGTTTAACCAATATGTTTACCAAATTATAAATAAATGCTTTTCTAAATTTATTTTCCTTATTTTAATTATAATGTATGCTATAGTGAACAATTTAATGTTATTTATTTTAAAAATATGTGATTTAATTTTTTTTTTAGATTATGACAATATTTTTTATACAAATATAAAAAGTCCATAAAAAACTTGTTTTAATTTATATTACTTATTTATAACCTGTGTGGTTTATTGACTTTAATTCACTTTTATTGATTATAAACTTTGAATCCTGGTCCAGAATTTTAGAAATCAAGTTCAAGAAATAATATATCATCTGATTATCAAAATGTTAGTAGATGTGTAATGAGTTTTTCCCAAAATTGTGTAATTGCATCAGATTGAAATTATTAAGATTACGAGTGACTCAAATGAGGATTTATTATTATATTGGAGAMCTAAATAAAAATGTAAAAATGATTGCTAATAATTAATATGTTATCAATTTATCATGTTTGTATTATTTCTATTTTTATTGTAGATCACATTGTACTTGTTACTTGTAATATAATTGTGGTAAACTG